CAATATTTTATTCTTGAAAATCCAATGACTGAAAACTTATTAGTCCTAAGTTACTTGATTTCAGTTCATTTTCTGCTAAAGAAGAGACATGTCATGATAACTCACAATTTTCATTGACAAGCAAGTATTGTAAAATCCGTCCAGACTTTTCCCGTCACTAATTCTACCAAGGCCAGAGTTGTTTCTGCCCAATTTCAAGTAGGCAATTCTAAAGTGAAGACCCTGAGTGCTCCATCAGTGGAAATGTCAAGTATTTTCGTGTCTCAAAAGCCTGCTTGAGGTAGCAGTCGAGTCTGTCCTGCCAAGAACCTCAACCAAACGAGAGGAAGTGTTCTATCAGACATTTAAAACATGTCTCGTCCATACTTCGGGTCTTGGGTTTTACGGATCGATACTTGGCTAAACCTTAAAAGCACTATCGAATTCCACTTATCGGCCCATTTCCTTAACTTATCGACTTTGGTAGCTGAATTGTCAAACAATCTGGAACTTGCGGTAGTCCGCTCTAAAATACTAGCTCAGTTGTCAAGTGTATCGTTTTATAAGTTGACAAGATCTTTACATATCATTCGATAGAAGTTTAAGTGTTACGTGTCAGATATCTTGCCTAAAACATTGGTTCCTGTGGTCTGAATTTATCTGACTCCTGAAGAAGACAGCACCGACATATATAGAACAATTTTCGAGCGAAAGTTGCTGTCTTCCTCATTCAGTTGTTGAGGAAATAATATTAATTGGTAGCGTTCAAGGCTCGCTTATGACAAAGAACGGTAGCACTTAAGAAAATTTTTAAGGTTTTATCGTGTATAAAAATCGTTGAAGGCATCGTACACGAAAGGCAACCTCAGGTTGAAGAAAGTTGACTGCATGGACACCTGAAGATATCGTTAATGAAAAAATGAACATGTAGATCGAAACGAGTAAACTACATCGTAAGTACGTAGAGAATTAAATGTCAATTGTGTTTGACGCTATATAGGTCAGTTAAAATGTCTGGAATTAAAATACTGTGGGGAGTGGAGTCCAACTGGGTCCAATCGTCACGGCGGCCACTGATTGGCCTGTTGTAGCCTGCCCCGGGTGAGTATGATAATGGAGAATTTGATGGAATTAAGACTGGCAAGGGAAACCGAAGTACTCGAAGAAAACCCACCCCGGCGCTACTTTGTCCACCACAAATCCCACTTGGCCAGACCCTGGTTCGAACCCGGGCCACCGCGGTGGGAAGCCAGCGACTAACCGCTTGAGCTATGGCCGGCCCTTCCTGACATTATCTCACATTGGACCAAATCCACGTCTTTCTGCGTTCTATAAAATTCGTTATAATAACACTCGACGTTGCGTGTATTAACTTACTGTCATAGTAAATGAACGAAACTAACACATAAGAAGAGTGTCATCGAATTATTGAATTGTTAGAATATGAAGTTCTCTTATTTACAAAATACCGTATTTACGCATGTATAGGCCGCGTGCATGTATAGGCCGCAGCACAATTTTCAGAGAGAAATTATAGAAAAAATAATTTTCTTTGAATATTATTTCAGGAGTAGAACACCCTGTATTACTAATTATGAATAATTTTTTTTAAATGAAGTGTGATTTCGAATATTTCGAATACAAGCCGCACCCCAGTTTTCCTCTTGAATTTTTGGCCAAAAATGTGCGGCCTATACATGCGTAAATACGGTATATCAATATCTGGCAGAGCGTGCATCCTTTAAAACGTGTCCGAAGCTACAGCAGTCTACCAGCTTGCAGGGAACATCAATACTATTCATTACTTCCCTTTAGGGGCACACATTCAAGAGAAACAGCTTGCGATTTCGAGCGAATTGATGTTCGAGAATGAACACATCCTCTGTTCATGAGTAACCCATGATCGCACCTGGCAAGTGGCGACAACAACAGCCAAGCTCCCTGGGCTCAATGTCACGCGAAAAGTTGCGATCATCCGATCGGTGGGGTGTGGGCAGTTAATGATATACTTTCTGAACCTTAGTATGTGACTGGTTTGTACTGCGTTTTAAATGGTACACTGTGTACATCATATGCACTTTTGTGACTGACAATGTGTAATAATATTAAGGACAATTAAGAAAATTCGCAATACACAAACACAACTGATAATTCCAATTGCCTCTCAACGCACAATAACTTGGATCGCTCAAACACCGAGTAGTCCACCTCAGAATCAAAATCGCTCTAGTCAGTGGCATTTTTTGCTTTTCTCTACATGTTCCGGTGATGGCAGGTGTCGAGGGTTATTATGATCCTAAACTTGACTTAATAAGAATACAGGCACATTCTCCATTTGAGAAAACAGGGGCCTAGAACGCACTTTATTTCCCTAGACGCAAAAGCTAGAGCTCTTATACAATGTGATGAGATGCGCAGAAGACAATTTCTGTGTATGGGCGCAACTGAAGACTCCATATTCTCCTAGAGAAGATAATAGAGATAGACAGTTCATTTCGCTGCTGGCGGCTGGTTTCTGCGTCGAATTGACTCCTAACGGCCTACAAACTCTGCCTTCCGCTTTCCCTTTCACTTCCCCTCCTTAGCGCAGGTTCATGCCATCACATAGTAATCGAGCTATACAGCATTAACATCCATTGGTCGGAGCGCAGTATACTTCTTTCTAATCGAACTATTTTCATGTGTCCATTTAAATAATCTAAACTAAAAAAAAAACATTTAAAGAGACGACCCTTATTCAGAATATTAGATGCTGAATTTCGAGAGCCAGAAATCACAGTCATACGCCTGCAATTTCTCTGCCCTGATTAACTACAATGCACATGTAAAGAAAGCATCAGTGGCTGCGAGAACTTATTCCCTTAAGACTGATTTGCAGTCCGAGGAAACATCATCTGATTTTGCTTTAGTTTTCCCTAGCCCTGTCAAGCACATGGACCCAAATAAACTACAGATATGCAAAGGCCTTTTTATCACACACTCTCATAAATCTACAGTCTCCCTTATTTAACAGTATATAACTTATGCAGTTAATAATTAGTGTCGTTAAAGAAATGAAGGGCCACTGAAGATAACTATCCTCTGAAATGTGATGCCGTATAGTCTGACAGAAAGTTATCAACGCTTCGGAGAACCTGCTGCCCCCATATTCAGGGCGTGATAGTAAATTCTACTTTCAAGAGAGAGTAATTGGTATCTCCGAAACGGCGCTAATTTTGTACAAGAATACATGGTGTCACAACCCAGAAGATCGTGATCTTCACCTTCACTGGATGGGTAAACAAATCTAAAAAAAAAAAAGGGTGCTGTTCAAAAAGGGGATGGCTCCATTTCTAGTCGAAATTCAGTTTTACTTCGAGGAGTTCCGTCTTATGGGATGTAATGCCCTGATGAAAGTCAACCAATTTATCGGATGAACTCCTCATCTCCATCTTCATGGTCGAAGAGTAAGCCTAGCGAGAAAGGAGAATGAAACAGACAGCAAGAAGAGCTTACTATTCGAACGTGAAGATGGAGGCGAAATACTCCCCCGAAACGTTGGCTGATGCCCTACATGCTTGTAGTATTCATTGTTCAATATATGTATAGAATCGCCCCGGTGTCCTGGTGGAAGAGCCCCATGGCTCAAGGGAATAGTTAGTTACTCTGCAACGGTAAAAACAGGGAGCACACCATGGTGTGATTTACATTGAGTGCTTAAAACATGCTTCTAGCTATTTTCCATAATGTGTCGAAAACTTCCTTCTTTGCGCTGGACTCCTCGAGTTTAGTTTCCATTTCCCTGCTCTATTTAGTGCTGAATTCAGCTGGTAAGACTGCACAGTGCTGAATTACAGGATGGAAATGAAAGTTTTGTAACAAGAGATTCCAGAAAATCGTAATATTTGTCTTATGGGACTATGAAGATCGCTGTTTTCTGGAAAGAGACCTTTGTCCGGGATCTGTAGCAGTATACCGACGTTTCGAATGTATGTACTCTCTCACTGGTTGGGGTGGAAGATAGAGGAAATACGTTCCCCCGAAACAACTTTAAATATGTACCAAGCTACACGGCGTCATATCCCAGAAGACAGTAGTCGTCCTCTTATGCATTATTGTAAAAAGGTGACATTTCTGCAGTGCAAACACGCTTGAATAGTACATGTATGAAATGAAAGCAGGAAGCCACGATTTCCCAATTCCTTTTGCCATCACTGATTCCTTAGGGGAACACAGAAACGCAGACACATGGAGGGTTGCTCTGAGGGCGAAGTTTGGTTAGATGGATGGAGGCAGGAGAGATTCAGCAGGAATTTTATATTAGATCCAATAAAGCAGCCAGCCAGATCACTTTCGACGGGGCGGTTTTGGCATCAGCGGTAGTGTGAGAGGGTGGGGCGCTCTTCCGTCTGTTCGGCCAAGCATTACCGCTGAAGATACTTCGCCCCATACGGAAGTATCTACACCATTTTACCTTCCCAACGAAACTGCCTTCTTCATTGATTAATTGGTCGACATTGTGAGCTGTATCCACCATTCAGTCAAAATGTAAGTGAATGAACATCAAAGAGTTTCATATTTCTTTATTCTATTACCGTATTCTTCCTTTTTTCTATATACTAGGTCTATGTGCTTTTAAGAAAGACCTGAATTGTTGTGTAAAGTTTACAAGTAGTTTAAACCCTCTGCAATGGTGTGAAATCAGGTATCAGCCGGTGTGCACCTATTGAACTTGCAAGTTATATTATGAGCCTTCCAGTGTTTTAGTTTTGGGCCCCTATTATCGCATGAGAGAAGAACTGGTTAACAGTGAATAAGAACGGGTTCACAAAGAAGCGGTAGTGGAACACTGTAGGCACTATCCCGGCGATTGCTAGGAGACACTGAGGAAAACTACGAAAAACTTCGGTTAGTATATTTGGTGTTTCAGCCAAGATTCGAACTTGGAACCTACCGAAAAATAAGTTACAGATCTATCGTTTCTGTAGCCTGCTATTCGTGTGTCCTAAAATCATTTCTTAAGTGTATTCTTTTTCTTTCAGGTCTTCTGAATTTGTTGTGGGCCCTTCCATTCGGTAAGTTCTCTGCCTTTTTCTTTTGTGGCTTACAATTTCAGCAAGTTTTAAGTTGCCGCATATGAATGTTACTTAAGTCTGTCTGCCCCCTTCTCTTTAATTTATACATTCCATAAGAATACTATTGCATCCTTTCGTCAATGGTTTCGTGTTAGAATTACTCACTGTAATAATGATATACTGCTTCGTACCGCCAAAGGGTCCTCAATGATCTTTCGATATACCCGCCATCTGGTTAACATCAGCTAAATTTCTCTTAAGAGTAGAGATTAGGCAGCGATCAGACGTAAATTAAATTCACCTGTACTGCTGTCGGTATGTTTTTTGCCAATTCTTTTATTAGCAATGCTGATATACACGTATGTGTGAAAGGAAAAGTATAGACGAGTATATACCTCTAACAAAAGAGCATATAAAATATGAAATTTTCACCTCTTACTTTTGATTCACCGTCTCACATGCAAACATGTGTTAAATTCTTAAATTAATGTTTTTGAGATTTAAGATTATTTTTCACCTCACTGGTACACTCCATGTTTCGACCGATATGGTCATCATCAGGAGCTTCGAAAATTGCTTTTGAAAACTGCTGCACTTCCGTCCATTGAGCACAATTCCAAAATATACCCTCGTTTATGCACCCATTTGTTGTACGTTTGTATTGCTGGCTGAGTCTTCATACATGTCGTTTTATTAGAAAAACCTGCTACAGGCTCTGAATAGCGATCTCTCCATTGCAGGAAGTATGGAACACAATAGCATGTTAGTACCGCCTGCTGTTACTTGCATCTACAGTTTCAATAATTATGTACTTTGCTCTGTGTCGCTTTCCATCTACCGTGTCAGACAGCGAACATCAAACGTCTGCCAGAAGCAAACGCCCGCATTTAGTTTGCGTTTCCCCCCTCAGCTTTTCCCACCCTCATTTTTCGCCCCTATTAAGGCGGTTAAGCTTATGTAACAATTCTCTTTACATAGATACAAAATTTACTCATACAGAAATCTTTTATTTAAATTATGATATAAAGTGCCTAGTAGAAATGATAATAACAAAGATTAACCGTTTTCAGAAGATAGTGCTAAATAGAATACTGGAACATGCTAAAGAGCTGTAGGGATACAAACAGGGCGGGAAATGCCCTGATTAGCTAATTGCTTCTTAAAAATTATTTAAACTTAATGAAATTTAATTTGACTTGTAGTCGAGAACGTCCATTTGGAATCAACTGCAAACCGAAAATACCATTACTGGAATTCTATTTGCCATATCCCGTCAGATTTTAGAGAAGATATACCAGCACAACGTTGAATGTAATTATTTAGAAGAAGCACTAAAGTTTAGAGCCTTGTTAAGATAATGGGCCATGTGATTCACGCATATTCGGCTGCTGTTCAAAACCAACTTATGAACATTACATCGTTAATTAAGGAAATATCAGAACTTTGATTTATTATACAATTTTGCAGTAATAACAAAAAACGATATACTCAGGAAATAAAGATGTCCACATATCGCTCGAGGTACGAGCAGTCATTAATGACAAGTTTTACTGAACTCATGTTTACGGTCATCCTTATGCGGATGTTTTGAAAAGGAAAGAAACCTTCCAACTATTCATAACGGGCTCACATTCCATGATAAATTCTAAGAATACTTTACATATCCGCATCAAAACATAATCGACTCTCAGAGAGTAGACAGGACAGAGCTGAACGAAAGACTGGACGCTCGTTAGTGACCTACTACGTAACTTATCTTCACTTCTCTGTCCAAAAAGTATCAGGCCTTGGGCCGGGAAAAAAAATTCTGTATCTGGGTGGTTACAATACCTAATCGCCTACAAATTATGCTGCGTATTATTGTAAGTAATTCGTTGCTATGGTAACGTGAAGTTGCTTAGTTCCAGATCTTCAGGTCACTGTTTCAAAATTTACACACACACACACACACACACATATATATATATATATATGATGTCAGAGGATGAGTGCACACATGTTAAACGTTTTATTGGGAAACTAAGCAGCCAGAACATTACGGGTTTCACCACTTGACAGCGGAACTCTCAAAGTTTTACCTACGATACTTATTCTGTCTAGTGCATATGACTCTGCGCCTGAATTTGCGCATGCCCCAGTTTCAGGGTGTTTTAACACGGGATGAACACTGGGCAAGCAACAAAGGCAGCTCAGGTCGAAGTGCAGTGAAATGGAAAAAGGTGGGGGGAAAACTTTCTGAGTAGTTCTACTGTCCTAGTTGTTTTTTCTAAACAAAAGCTTTTAAAATGTGTGTACTTTTTCTGTAATCAATATGATATCTTTTCACATATTCTCATTTTCCTAGTTTATGGTCTGTCGTAATTTATTCCCCTATTTACATTTAAATTCAAATTAGTGTTCTCCCATTTCCCTGAGATAAGTTGTATTAGTACAGTTTGTGGTTTTTCTACAATTCTTTGGAATCCGTCGTAACACAACAACATAGCGGTCAAGGTCAACATCTTAGCTACAAGTTTCCGCGTTTAAATCCATCATCAAGCAAAACACATGATTATTATATTCACACACTATTGAACTGCAATTTCATTGTGATAGTAAAGATGGATACTTGATAAATATTACATTATAAAGTACAAGATATAAAAATACAGTTAATTATAAAACGAAATTTATGGAATAAAATATGGTTAAAAGTTCTTCATGTGATATTGCATATCATGAAGTCAGTTGCTGCAAACTTGTTATATTCTCGCGGACATAATGGTATATTCAGGACTTGTATACATATAGTAAACTGCTTGGAGGCCCATGGTATAGGTGTGGTACTATTTGACTTTAATTGTTTGGCCGGTGCCTCATCTTACAGTGTACTTTGTCCTCTCTGTTGGGAATACAGATTGCAATATAATAACACAACATGGTGCACGAATTGAAAATTATAAATGTGGTTTTTCTATATGCCAAACTTCGAGAAACCACGATTCAAGACAGACTGAGTCCGAGTTGAGATTCGAAACGGACACCTCCGGAATCCTTATCGCTTAATCCAAATAATTCCATATAATTCACTGTATATAGCTGGGATAGCTCAGTCGGTATAGCTACTGTCTAAGGAATGGACTGCTGGGGTTCAATTCCCGGCAGGGCAAAGAAATGTTTCTCTACTCCACAGCGTCCAGACCGGGTCTGGGGCCCACCCAGCCTCCTATGAAATATGTAATGAGGGCTCTTTCCCTGGGAGCAAAGCGGCCGGGCGTGAAGCTTTCCACTCACTTCAGTCTAGTACCGAGGTCAATAATGGGGTAGCTCTCCCATACAGTTTCATGTCGTGGTGCTTAATTAATTAAACACAGGGACAGCTTTACCTTTACTTAATGCATTGTCATTATTCGTGCTTCATGAATGTTTTCTATAGCATTAGCACTAGCAATAAATTTACATCTAAAGAGATGGTGATATATTATGATGGGTATTATCATAGCTATTATTGTGGTAACAGCAACAATCCATGGTACGTGGCCCCAACCGGCCAGCGATCTTGCTGAGCGCCATTTTCTACGAGATGTAACGTTCGGAGCATGAAGCTGGCCACATGTTTTCAAGGCTTACGGTGTAGAAATTACATGCATCTTTACCTTAATCCCTAATACTCTAAATATCTTCAAGATAATATATAAAAATTCAGTTCGTACCTCACGGGAAACTCATGACGCCTACGCTGAAAATGTCATCCATTTAAAACTGTTTACAGAGAAGAAAATACATTCTTATCGTAAGAATATACGACGCTTAGAAATACACTATATGGGCAGAATGAAGTGTTTTAGAATGTTAAAACAGGTGATACATATAGTAACCACTGAGCTTTAAAGGGTTAATGCACCTTAAGCACCTTTATGATGTGGTTCTTTGACGCAAATGTAACTTTACGTTTATCATTGTAACCATCCACTGCTCATGGAACCAGTTACATATATTCATCCGTGACATTTAGCAGACTGGGGGAACAGATGTTTAAGCCGAATATCTTCACGGAGTACAATAATGTAGCTGTATCTCACGGATTCCGTCCTACACATCCACTTTCTCCGAGGTAGAGCTCATAAATTAGGCATTGTATAAATCTACTCTGGAGGGTCCACAGAACACACTGCTCGTTCTTTATTTTTTTCGTGGAATAAATTGCTAGGTCTTTTATAAATTTGTCATGGACTCGAAGCCCGTTGTTCTCATGGGAACCGGCTGCTCCCGCAACCACCACGACACTTCGCTCCGGGTAAGGATCTGGACTGAATTGTAAGTATCCGTGTGACTTGCGATGTCACGTGCTTGCAGTGTTTTACTGGAACTTATATTCTGTATCGGAAGGTGAGTGTAGTCCTCAGACAGGGTCGTATACGAGTGTGGTACTGATTAAATTGAACATGAATTTAAAAGAAGATTTACCTTGGTACACCAGAATTTATGCCACAGCAGGCCGTATTTGTGAACCGTCCTGTACTTAAATGCCCTAAGCTCTCCTGGATTCGTGTTATATAGCCGCGGCACGGACAAAGCAGAAAAAGACAGTTCTATTATTGCGTAACGCAGACCACACAGAAAACAAGTCACGTCATATCTATCTCTCCAGTCCGTTGGCGCGTTCACTGCTTCCTAGCAACGAACTATAAACATGCGCCATATTATTGCATGCGCGTATCGCGGGATATTTATAGAGCCTTGCCTGGCAGTTAGTTGACATGTCACAATATGAGCAAAATAAAGCACGTGATTTACAAGTTTAATCGGTCGAGCCATAGCTCAGGCGGTTAGTCGCCGGTTTCCACCGCGGCTGCTCGGGTTCGAGCCAAGGTCAGGTCATGTTGGACATGTGGTGAACAAAGTGGCACTGGGGCAGGTTTCTTCCTAGTACCTTGGTTTCCCCTGCCAATTCTCATCCCGCTGACTGCTTCACATTCATAACTTATCATCCGGGGCTTGTAAAATAGGCTAATTAGCGG